AGGTAAAACCCCATAAATATCTGTGCATGAAAATGCATGCGATGTTAATGTTAATGGAACGCTTTGAACGCTTTGATGTTGAGTTTGTTAATCAAAAATTCGTTAAAGGTTTACAAAATATGAAATAGATAAAACAAAATTCCAAATTTGTGCTTTCAATGCTCCTATTCGAGTGGAGGACGACGTTATTCAGAATTTGATGTCTCAAGATACCGCTGTTTTTTCACAATGCAAGAAACATCAATATATTCATGCAGATTCTTCATTATTTAATTTTTTTAAATATAATGCAGGGCTCTAATATTTGGTAGTAACAATTTGAAAAGTGATTCAGATTTTTATAGTGAACCAACGCAAAATGCCAAAACGAAATTAAAAGTCTTCTGATCTAATGCTCCTTTGGGCTAAAAATAGAAATCGTAACATAATTTTGAGCACCTTGTTAAGAACTTAGATACTGATTTATATTTTTGTTGAATTCATTTTCATTTTTAAATCTATTTAGTGTACTTGAACAAATAATAGCGCAGCGAATTTCCGAAGTTCTACGGTAAGTCTAACTGAGACTTGAACGCATCAAAAATATACATGTAGTAGTTGCTTAGTGGTAATTCTGAGTTAAAAAAAAGGGCTCAGTGTACCTTTAATACGAATTTATTGGAAGATCAAAACAAAATGATCTAAAAGAATTATGTAATCTAACATCTCACGAGTAGCATTCAAGCTGCATCGAAACAAATCGAGAGTATCTTGTTTCATACTATTGCCGTATATATACAGTTGCATTTTAAAATTACTATTGCGTTTGTTAACCCCTTGCCTGTGGAATATATATGAGAAAACGTGCCAAAAATGGAAATTTTTTTCCCTCTTTAATTTTGTTTGTTATTATTATCAAAATGTTAGAAATAGATTATTTTTTTAAAAAAGAAATTTAAAATGAAATAATTACTATATTCAATATTTTCACATATATGGGAAATATTAATGGATTATAGCAATTTTTTGCTTTAGTTATAGCAAAACTAATCAAATGGCATAATTTTCGAGAGAAATATAATACACTAATGCAACATGATTACTTATATCAACTGTCAGTAGATTTTTACATGAATGGGCCAAATTTTGTGCAGTTTTGCATTAGGGTGTGTTTCAAAGTTGACTTCTTCATTGTTCTCAGAATGGAAATATTTTCTTATCATTTGAAATCTGTCGTAGAGCATAACTTTGCGAAAGAATGGCGTTACAAGACATGCCATTTTTGACTAAAACATTGAGAAATCGGGTTTCCCTGTAAAACATGGAGCAACAGAAATATTTTCATTTCATGGTAGTTTGTAGTCACCTACATTTTAGATTGGCTTTTTTGGCTTCAGATGCTGCCTTTCAATGCATTGCTCTGCATATCTATTAGTCTCTTCCGTAATGGTGTAAATCAAATTGTCATCGAAAAAATAGTTCAAAATATCGTTTTTCTTGAATAAAAGTGGGATTGGGATTAGGGATTATTCAATTATGGCAAAGCACACGAGAGCTATCTGCCTAAAGGGAGGGGTGCCTTCGTGGAGGGCTTTCTAAGAGAAACTGGCTCGTATACACGTTACACATGGGGAAAACTACGAAAACGCCCATGCAGCCAGCCCGTTCGCGGGATTCGAACCTCGGACTGAACTACCAGCGTTCAGGGTCTTTACCGCTCGGCCGCTGGTGGGCCTTTAATAAAAGTGGAGGTGTCAATTTGTTGCACCCAGTTGTGGTTGTTGGAATCGGAATCTTGGATCGGCTGGAGGAAGGTTATTCAAACATAGCGGCATCCATGTTCTGCATGAAAGAGTTTCACTTTCATCGTTACTTTCGAAATAGTCACACTCTTGTGTTGAAATACTGGTATCTGAATATGAAGAGTATCTGAATTCAACTATTTTTCATCATCGTCTGATTTCGACATTGCGAACATAATGTGGTTATTTAGAAATAAATGCAAAATTAAAAAAAATGGCAAATGGCGCAAACCTGTCGAACATTTCCCGGGAAAGTATCGCGATCTATTGGAAAAATGGTAAATTACATATTATGCATTGGACGAACTGAGTTTGGGCTTCAAGGAATTGAAACACTGAATTTTTTTCTTGCCCAAACTCAGGTCAAGCATTTCAGAATTGGCGCATTTTGCGTTGCCCGAATTGAGTACGGGAGTCACAAAACAAGGGGTTAAATTAATGCGCTTCCTACCACTTTTCGTGTTGCCGTCAAGTGGTAGAGAACAATGTCTATTCAGACTAGAATAGTGTTTAAACTTAAACGAACCTTCTCTGTTTAACTATACTGTTTTCATTTCAACCGAAACCATTCAAATTCTTCATAGATGAATCTTAATTTACTGCACCCGTCTTTTTCTATATCTATTTCGAGTGCCATTATCCTTGGAATATGGGGTATAATCTAACTCGTAAGTTTAACGAAAGTTTACTGTTTAGTATGTTTACTGTTACTGAATAGGGTTAGTTTAAAAGAAATACTAGTTTAAAGGCTTATCATACTTGCCAACACTCCCAGCTTTTAGTCAAACCTCCGGTTTTAAATTTTCGTCATTTTCAGCAGTAAATGAAATTCTTTTAATTAATGAAACTCATGCAGAGCATATTTCATTCCCCCACCCATAGAGATTTTCAAAATAATTTTTCTTATTAAATTTTTATTTGATCTAAATTATCTTAATCTACTATAGACATCTGTAGAACTTTAAATTTTTAGATTTAATTTTGTTTTATACGCCGCCCAGACGGTATTGCGGTTAGGGAAGCCTGACTGCGGTTCCAAAGGGCCTGGGTTCGAATCTCGGAGAAGGCGTGGTTGTAACTGTAAGTTCCGTCATAGGAAGCGATGGTGGCCCATAAAGTGCATCCATAATAAAGAGACCACCACATTTGGCTTTATATAGATTAATGGACTGTATTACACTGTAACTGTTCACAATCTGCCATCGAAAAAAAAAAAAAAATTGTTTTACACTTATGTATGATACATTAGTAAGTTCCCAGTTTTTCATATTTCAAGGCAGTTTTGGTTTATAAACCGAAAAGTTCTTGTTTTAATAAGGAAGTACCTACTAAAATTTTATAGCTAGGGTTACCAGACTCCAGGGTTTGTAATTACATCCAGTGCTGTTTCGGAACTAAAAATTGTCCAACTTTTTTTTTAAATGAGAATAGTTGTCCATTTAGTTAATTCAGTTTCTCCTCTAAGGGAACCCCCCCCCCCAAAAAAAAAAAAAAAAAAAAAAAGAAAAATTCTGAAAGGTTTCAGATTTTAAATTACGTCCAAAAGGCGTTTTTTTAACGTTTTGTGTGTTACTTTTATTTATTAATATATTAATACCATGTTAATTAAATATCACGTTCTTTGCACTTAAACCATAAAATTCAGTTTAACAGCAATGTCGCAAAATAATTTTAAAATGAGCATATCTTTGGAATTTCCGATACACAGTTTCCGCGGCGCTGGAGATAAAAAGGTTTTTCCCACCGTAATGTGTTGCCATTGCTCGCTTTTAAATCGTTGAGTTTGTTAATCAAAAATTCGTTAAAGTTTTACAAAATATGAAATTGATAATAAAACAAATTCCAAATTTCAAATTTGGGCTTCCATGTGCCCATATTCGCGGTAGGATTACGTCATTCAAAATTGGATGGTTCTAGGTACCGTTGTTTTGTCACAATGTAGGAAACATAGACATTTATTCTCCATTATTTAATTTCTTCAAATATAATACAGGGCGATAGTATTTGGTGGCAACGATTTGAAAAGTGATACGCCGTTTATAGAGTTCCGACGCAAAATCGCAAAACGAAAACGATAGTCCTTCAAGGGCAAAGCCCCTTTGGAATAAAAAGAAGTTTTTGCTTCAATTATGAACAACACTTACTCCAACAAGTGTCAAAAGTAAAGGGACTTTTAAACTTGAAAATGAATTTCAAATATTCCCGTAATGATATTTAAGAACTTAAATCATGCAATAAAAAGTTGCTGAAGAAAATATTTTTTAATTACAGTATATTACAAGAACTTATTAATAAAGAATATGCAAAAGTGGAACAGGAACAAAAAAACCTTCTTTTTGGTCCTTCATATTAATTTTTATCTGTTGTACAGGTACGTTTAACATAACTGTCACAGACCTTCTAATCAAAGAAATTAATTTTTCATAAAATGTCTTGGATATGTCAAACCGCAGAAAATTTTCAAATAGGTAGGTTGGGAAAAAATAATTACGCCAATGAATTTTAATTTAAATCTTTAAACTGTGGGGTTACTGGTGAATTTTAGAATACAGTACCGCATCAACACAAAAATGTTAAAAAAAAAATCAACACAAAATTGATGCAACTAGAGTGTAGTTGCATCAACATCAAAATACAATCCCCACCAGCGGCCGAGAAGTAAAATCGTTAAACGCAACTAGTTGGACCTGTGTTCGCTTTCAGGCGAACGGGCAGGCTGTATAGGCAGGCGTTTTCGAGGTATCCCCTATGTTGCATAAGCCAATTCTTGTGTGCTTTGTCATATTCACTCTACATTACTTTACTCATTTCATATGTCCCATTAACTCCCTTCCGCGCTGCATCTGGTCTTGGATTCTTTTTACTAGAACTCAGAACGTGGGGGTCCAGTAACTTTTAATTTATTAAACTGTTTACCCAGGATTTGGGATTTGCGACCAAAGGTTTCAGCATTTAATTTTGAAACCAAACATTAATGATCTAATGAAGTAAATTAATAATGAAGAAATATTGTTAATTTTATTGTTAATAATGTCTAATTATATGTAATGAAGTGCAAGAAAATTAAAAACTTTTTTCTTCAGTTCCGTTTAAACAGCTGATGATTTAGTGGTATAAATTTCATCCTTGTTGCTGAAGATAGATGTCGCGCCATTCGTTATTTCCTGTGCTTTGAAGTATCACGTTTGAGACGGCGTGAATTCTGTCCTGTCGACAAATTTCACATAACATGCCATGGCGCCAGTTAGAAAGAGTTGATTGGTAATGTGCACTTCTGACGCACGTGCATCATGACTTGTATGACTTTTTCACGCAAATTTTCGAACAAGTGTGTATTTAGAGAATTTTTATTGAATGTTAAATGGGCATTAGTGTAACTATTGTGTGGCTCATTATTCGTATCTCATGATTCTCAATCTAAATGTGCGTGACAATTATTTTAATAAAAATATTGTGGACCACACACATTCAGTTATGGGCTGTTCTGCTGGCAAACTGGACAGCAGAAAAATAAAGGATTCTCCTATTATCCCTGTAAATGACGTTAAAATCCAAACAGTTTTAAAATTGAATCCTGTGGATAACAAATCCCACAGAAGTAGCAGAAGTGCATCGAAGGATGGGAAAAGCCGTCGACATAAAAGAAATGACTCGAAAAATAGAAAAAACGGTGAAAATCGCCATAAAACTTCAAAATCGCGAAACGATAAAACTGTTAAACCGACTTATGATTCCAAAATTGCTGCGAAATATAATATTAAAGCAGTAATTGGGAAAGGTACTTACAGTCGAGTTCTGCGAGTTGAGCATAGAATCACCAGACAACCCTATGCTTTAAAAACGATTGAAGCACCTGGAGGACGAGAAGCTTTTGAAGCTGAACTTTCTATACTTCGGCGAGTGAATCACCCAAATGTGATTAAACTTATTGAAGTATTTGAATCCGATCATAAAGTGTACATGGTAATGGAACTTGCTACTGGGGGTAGCTTATTAGATCGTCTTGAAACTCGAGGTTATCTCTCTGAAGAAGATTCTAGAAATGTAATGAGAATGGTACTTCAAGGAGTGAAATATTTACATGCATTAGGTATAACTCATAGGGATTTAAAACCAGACAATTTATTATATTATCATCCTGGCAAAGAATCAAAAATAATGATAACTGATTTCAGCCTTGCAAGTACACGTAAAGCATCAGGAAATCCATACATGCACACTGTATGTGGTACTCCTCAATATATTGCTCCAGAAATAGTTACTCGTAAACCCTATACTTGTTCTGTAGATATGTGGGCAGTAGGAATTATTACTTACATTGTTTTATGTGGTATTTTCCCATTTGATGCTGATCATGATGCACAAATTTTCAAACTCATCTTGCGAGGCAAAGTTCATATGACAGATTCAGTGAGTATTTTTGACTTAATCTTATTTGTAAATATCTCTCTGGTTAAAAGTCATTTTTCATGATTGAGTTTTATATTTTTTTTTTATGTCAAACTAAAATTAGAAAAAACATGTGAAAAAAAATTGTGTTGCCTTAATCATTAGACTTAATGATAGAAATCATTTTCTTTTCCTTTATGGAGTAATGAGTTCTGAGTTGGTTTTTTATTCACATGATGCTAAAATTTATTAAGTAAAAGTGCATTTTCAATTAAATTTTTTTGAACATCTGTGATCAAGATTCTAATAGTAAATTAATTATAGGTTTTTTATTTTAATAATCCATTATTTCATTGCAAAAATAAAATTTCTTTCTCCCCTCCCCCTTTTTCAGTTTTTATTTTCAGATTTTTTACATTATGAAGATCTGATGGAGATAATAATTAAAAAAGAAATTTAATTTTTACAGTAATTTATCCATGTAAATGAAATAGGCTTTTAAATATTAGGTTTGATATCAGTTATTTGAGGAATTTGATGAGGACAAAATGCATAAAATTTAAATTCTCTTGTGCTTAAAATTCTTCACATTACAAATCACATTCCATTATTTCCAAGTAATTAAATTACAGTATGTTATAAGTTATAGCAAATTTACAAGTTCCCAGTTGTTATTTTTTTTTTTTTTTTTTTTTTTTTTTTTTTACTGTGGATGCTTCTGTTTGGATTTGACTCCTTTTCCTTTATAATAAGTTATTTTTTTATATTAGAGAGGAAAAAAATATTTTTTCAAAGTTTTTCATCTGATATATTATATGGTGGAATTGATTGCTAACATGTTCCTATCAATATAAACAAATTTCATTATTTAATGTTTACTTTTTTTTAATATATTTTTTTTTGACAGTTAATTTGCAGGATTAGAAAACATTATTTCTTATTTATATATTGCTGAAGATATTTTATTTGCATTTTCAGAGGAGAAAATAATATATGAGCATAACTTGAAATCTGATTATAACAGAGAGCATAACTTGATTGTATATGAGCATAACTTGATTATTATAAATTTTGATTAATATTGTTGCCAGACATTTACTTAATTAAACCTTTTTTTGATAATTAGTGCTTAAGTTTTTAAATTTTGATTAATTTTTCTTATGCAAAGAACAACTTCTATTTTGAGCAGTATTAGAATAACTGCAAGAAAGAAAAAGTGCTAATTTCCATGGAAAATTAAATTTTTTAATGTATTGATTTGTTTCATCTTTGAAGTCTTCCTGTAGATATCATAGCATCTATAATTTGTTATGGCATAGAAACTTAGGTAAAGTAAGATGATTCTGCTAAATATCATTTCATTACTTTTAATTTTACTTCTCTTTGATATATATTCAGTGAACAGACAATCTAGCATCAGAAAAATTAACTTCCTAATGATATGAATGATCATAGCAATTTGGAAAAATTCAACTTTGGTTTATTTTCGAGAAAAGTTTTTTATATTTCAAATTAATTTGATGTAGGTATATTCCTTTGTCAAAGAACAAAAAATAGTTTGCACTTTTTTATGCTAAGATTTATTTAATTTTCAGAAAGTAATTTTTCATCTAAAAATAAACATTGAGTTATTCTTATAATAACATACTGTGAAATATTTGAATGTTAAAGTGGTTAAATATCTATTGTTTAAAAATGAATAGTAAATCCAAAAAGAGGTAATAAAAGACAAATCGATTTTTAGTTTTTTTTTCAAACATGTACAAATATATTACTTTTGCTGTATATACAGTGTTCTCTGTTATTTGTTTTAGTAACCTGAAAATATTTTTACATGAAGGAAGGAGACTTGAAAAAGATTCTATCAAAATATAAAATACATTTTACTTAATGTGCAAACAGGAAATTCTACTATAAGAATGCAATTCTTAAAATGCATCAGGAAACATTTATTGATGTATATATTCTAATCATATATAAACATTGAATTTGATAAAATTTAAGCCAATTCTTGTGAGAAACAGCAGATATAATTTAATGTTATGGCTAGTTTAATATTCATACAATTCATGTAAAAATGATAAAATTGATAAATTATGAAAACTGTGTTGTATGTAATATTTTACATTTACATTCTTTTTCCTCTGTCATATCATGAAAATAATTACAACTTTTGAGGGTTACTAAAATTTTGAAAAATACTGTGTCTGTATTGTCTGGTATTCAAGTGAAAGGATGCAGAGAAATGAAAATGTTGATCTCCTAATGAAACTTTAGTGTTATTTTTATTTAATTTGCTTAGAATGTTATTGGCTGCAGTAGATTATGTATTATAAAATATCTATATGAAATGCATTAGTCTGAAATTGTTGTGGCTATGGTCAAAGCAATGTTGACTATATTGGGAACATTAGAGCAGAGTCAGTGACAGGATCTATCAGTTGTCAAATTTTTAGACTTTAGAACCTTTTTTCTTTTTACTTTCAGTAATAAGCAGCATAATTTAGAGAATTTTGTTAACAGAAGTTTTATTCAAACCCAGGTTAAACTATCAGTATTTAGCAAGTTCCATGACTCACTGATGGGCCAAATAATATATGGAGCCAGCAGAGATTATACTGGAAAACAAAAATGTCCTGTGCTGGCCCTGCATTAGATTATTGTATTTGACGGTATTAGGGTTATTCTTGTTTAGCATGCATTTTGTAATTTAAGTGTTATTTGTTACTTAACAAATTTTCCTACTCTCTGTGATATGGTAGTAAGGAACTGTCATAGCTTCGGGACTGTAATAGTAACTGTCATAGCTTCGGGATTGTAATAGTAACTGTCATAGCTTCGGGCCCAGGTTTGAATCTCACAGAAGGCATGAATATTTAATATAAGTGGGTAATGTCTCTGTGACATGGGCTAATTTAAAATATTGTTGAACTGAAAATCTTATTAAGAAGTGAGAAGGGACAGAAAACTATTGGATCCATGTCTGAGATACTCCCCTTCAAAACTGGAGACCCCATCAGTAGCTAGACAGTTAAGACAGTTAAATACTGACAGCTTGACTTGGGTTCAAACCTAGACAAATGGGCTGGCTACGTGGCTTGTCTTTGTGGCTCTCCTCATTTGCAACATAAATATGAGGCAGTTTCTCTTCAAAGTCATCCATAAAGGCATCCCTTCTCATCTTCAGATAACTTAATAACCTAACTGGAAAAGAAGTAGGCAAACTCATAGTGTGCATATAAAGTGCCCAAGGCCTTTGCCAATGACAGGCAGGGCCTTCGCTAGACTTCTTGCCACCTGGTCCAAACTTCATGACTCGAAAATTCTGTCGCCCAGTTCTTACCTAAATTCTAAAAATTTTGCCACCCTCAATTCTGTTGCCTTTTCCTGATAACAGGTGCAATCCTTTTCCTTTTGCTCACGATGGCATCATGAACATGATGTAGATTGTGTCCAGATCAGGAGGATTAATAACAGTAGCAAAAAAAAAAGGGGGGGGTCACTTATAAGCCACTGTTGATTGAAACTGTGAATATTGAATATATGGTTATAATGGCACCGTTATCAGAATGTGTTAAATGCACATTCATAGTTCCATGCAACATAATATTTATTATGTGAATTTAATTATGAATTAATTTTTTGGTTTCTAATTGTATACATAGTTGAATTAAATGTAATGCTATCATAGCATTTGGTCCAAAATAAAAACCCTTGCATTTAAAGATAAATTTGATTAATGTAAGTGAATATTTAAGGAAAGTATGGTTCTGAATAGAATTTGTTTGTTCCTGAGGTACTTATTATCCCATCGACCACTGAAACTATTGCCAAGCAATGTGGTTTAGTGGAAATTTTGTGTAAGTGGTATGTAACAACAACATGCACTTTTGCTTGACATAACTTTGATTGATTCTTGATAAACCACATTTTAATTTTATGAGCAAGGATAGAAATTAAATAGTATTCTGCACTTACTCCCATTTTGGGAAAAAACATACATATACACATGAAGAATTGGAAACTTTCTTCTGGTATAGAATAGCAAGCATTAGATTATTTTCAAAATTATGGGATCTTACCTTAAAAAAAAAAGCGTATTTCATTGGAGATGATATGGTCAGGTGAATATAATAATAACATTATGTATGTGTTCTGCCTTTATTGTGGTACTACACAGACTGGAGATCCAACTGGCAGCCCCCTTATTAGGCAGGGGAGGTCATCCAGCCTTGTCACCTTGGGAGGTGGAGGTCTCATTTATCAAAACCCTGGGCCCCAATCCCAAGTTAAATGGATTTTTAAATTTCTCCCTATTCTCCACTTTTGAAATGGGCCCGACGGGTCACCACTTCCTGGTCTTGGCACTACTTGTGGGGGTGTGACCTATTCGCTTGGAGATTTGACTGACACTTTTGAAATGGGCCCAACGGGTCACCACTTCCTGGTCTTGGCGGTACTTGTGGGGGTGTGACCTATTCGCTTGGAGATTTGACTGATTGTTAGTTTGCTACCCACCAGTTCTACACGAGCTGTAATTTGCGGAATGGACTTACAACTGACCCACTCTAACCAGGCCTTGATTTTATTCTAGTATCTTCTGGCGGGCATGTGAAATCGCCAACCTCAATGACTTTATATCCCCATGGCCAAGACAGCCTAGGTACAGATCCTAGCCAGTAGCTTCACAGAGTTTTCTGCGGCGATCCCCGAACGGGGTTCGGTGAATTTGACCAATAAGACAGCCATAGATTGGAACAATTACCTGCAGGAAGTTTGTATTCTTAGTATTCTAAACAGAGCTTCCAGTGAAAGCACGGAACCTTAGTAGAAACTGATGAGAACATTTTGTTTTAAACAAAGCTAAAAAATGAAGTAGGTTGAATACTGATTGTTTATTAAATTAAGAAGTGTTGGTTCCTTCAGAATTCCACAGGAACAATTGATGCAGCTTTGACTGGTCTTCATCAACTGTCATGGTTTGATGGTAATGAATTTCACAATCGATGGGATAATTCATA